GTTTACTTAATAGACGGCTAATTCTTTCTAAAATTATCATTATTTATCAAGAAAATAGTTGCATGCCATGATAAACTAAATCAAACGTTTCACTAGTGTCCGTATGGGAAAATACACTACAAAGTGTTTCTTGTTTTGCATCGAGATGAAATTAAAGGACAATCACCAACCAGCACCCAATGTTTTAGATTTTTCATCTACGGAAAATGATGTATGCTCGAATGTCTTTTCACAATGCGTTCCGTTTAAAAGGGAATCTAGCTTAAACAGAGTATCTCCATTCATAGATCATATATTAAACGAGATAATAAACAGGGAATATTCGCTTATAATTAATACAAAATACTCAAAACCTCGTAACGGATGCTGGTTGACAATTTGTCTTTATATTAGACGAATTTTTATGCTTAAATGTAGAGACCATTGTTTGGTCGTGTTTCACGAGTTTTGCATGTGGGATTACAAGTAAGCACGGTAAAGATGCGCATGCTCAAATCACACTAATCATCTATTTTCACAGAAATCATTACCCTTTTGAGATCATGATATCAAATATTGCTGTTAAGTTCCGAGATTTGCTCGTTTTTTTTTTAATCCAAAACCGCTCTCCTAATATAAAACGGAATAATTGTTTTTGTACATGTACGACTGTACGACTAGCATTGAAATTTTAATTGAAATCCATGAACAAAATGGAAAGTTTTTTTAACGCAGACACTGATTCTTTTCCCCCATATCAAGTTTGATCAAGATATGTAATCTTTATAAAAAAAACTCTGATTTGAAATAATGCGTACTTACACAAAAAAATTATTATATGGGAAACGAATTCATGAATTCACACCTATTTTTGAAGTGTCGTGAATATTATTATTCGCTATATATTCATGAAACAAACAGAAACATATCAAGAGATGCCCTAAAAACTGTGTTGTTTTCGTTCAAGCTATTTCTTTTTCCATATAAAGAATTGAACTTACACACCTTATTTGGAAATCGAATTTTTTTTTTCACCAAAACTAAGCCGATTTTCTTTTCCAGAATTGCTAATTTATAACATTGAATGGAGTGAAAACATACTAAAGTGAAGCCATCTTGCTTTTTGACCGAAAAAGGACTTGAAATCTGTAGAGGTACTGTAGGTTTTGTCACCACAGGAAGTCCAGAAAAGAAACTAATTTGATATAAAACTATGATCGAAACAAATTTAGTAAACAACAAAATGAGCTAAGGTCTACCTTAGTAGTATTAACTAGTAGTCTACTAACAATTCTCAGGTCCAGTAAGGAACGACTATAAAAAGTAAGTCGTAATTTCAATCTTATATTAACTTGCATTCCATTAAAACCTGCTCTCAATAAGTCATGCAGTTAAATGGACAACATGTCTCTGTTAATCATCTTTAATCCTGCATATGTATATGCCCTTTCTCCTAGAGACGTACGAGTTTGCGAGTCATCAGATTAGAATTCTCGCTTTTGCATCCTTCACYTTGAGTTCACGATTTTCCTTTGAGAGGCCTTTACTTTGACTAGAGATGTAAATGTTCTTCGAGAGTTGTAGCTGTAGTGCCAAGAAGGCCTGCTCGTACTCGAGGTGCTTGAATGAAAATCGCTCCAAAGGTTAACATGCTTAAGATAGTAGCAATCACTAGAATGAATCTATCAAGAACTTGAGCAGCTCTCTGCCATTCAATCGAGTTGGATTCCATCACTTCCATCTCGTTAGACAGTCGCTTTTCATCCATGCAGTCGGTCTGTTCTCGGTCGTCTAARATGTGTGATTCCCGCACATTGTTTTCACAATCATTCAACTCATTCTCTAAGTTCTCATTTTGAATCAGTTTCAGTGATTTTAACTCGCAGTTATTTGATGAGCCGTTTTTGCTCTTGCTTTTTTTTGACGACTGYTTGATTGACTTGTTCTTTATTCCAACTAACGGGCCGATGTACGAAAAGACCAATTTTCTCAAGCAATTAGGCATTTTGCTCTTTCGATAGTGAAAGTTTAGGATGATAGAGGTCGCGAACAGCGCTAGTCCAATCTCGGCTATAGCACTTGAGTAATATTGAGCTGAAAATAATGTAAAAAAAGGATTTATTATAATTTGCTGAGACTTAAGCAACATTTTCCATACGCCGTTCCAATTTTGTTCGCACTTTTGTTAAAGCTATTTATGGGTCTCAACCACGTGATCAAAACTCATCTGACAAGAAGCTGAGTAAAGGTATGGCCGCGATGTTAAATAAATGAACACGAGAAGTTAATGATAAATAATGTCCTTCATGATTCCCTGTGCTACCTTGAAAAGTAGCTAAGCCTTCGAAACGAGACGCCCGTTCAGCTTATCATCATTGCACGCTCAACGGCTGTCGTCTCGCACGCCTAATTTCAAGATGACGGAGTGAACCGCGAAACAAACTATTCTTTGTTATTTCCAACCAAAATGGCGGCGATGACGTAACATGCGACCCCGAGAATAGCACCCTGCGGAAAGTCAATAATTTTAAGTGCATTCTTTTCAGTCTAGAATTCAAAATTCTCCTAGGTACGGATTGATTAGATGATTCAGGGTCAGGCATGATTAACCTGACCCCCAATAAACTATATACCCGCGGAATCGGTACTAGTCTCTTTCTATCTCAAAAAAAGATTGGTTACGAAGGAGATTACTTAAAACTGGCTATTAAAAATGTTTTGCTTCATACCCAATAATGGAGTGAATTTTGATTCCACTGGTAACTTCTCTGAAGTCAATTCTTGGAATATAGCCATTGCCATCAAGACTGTGATACCCAGGCTCACTCGTTCTCCAGACTCCGGCGGTAGCACGAATGAAAGTAGAACCATGACAGCAATTAGTGAGCAAGGCACCACAAGGTTGACGAGATAGTAGTAGTAACGACGTCTTAAATGGACCTCAAGGACCACTTTAGGGTAGKGGTACTTGAAGCCTGCATACTTCGCCTGTTGGAAATCAATCAAACTTACTGGTTGAAACGTTTTGTAAATTTACAACGTTTAAAAAAGACATTAATCAGCATCGAAAATGAGTCTATGGAGACAGAGGTTGATTCAATAGTCTTTGGAAATAACGACATTTGAATAATTTGTAATAATTGTAACCGATAGACGGGTAAGTTTGATACTAACTATGTCAGTCATTGTTAGTTTTGCATGGCAAACACGATTTGCCTCACACTGGAAAAATCGTGCTGTAAATTTGTTGTAAAAATGTTGTAAATATCATGTAAGTAATATTTACATGATTTTGGACGCTTACATAAAATTTTTTTCTCTACATAAAATTTACATCAAATTTACATGCGCTTTTTACATACATTGTAAATTTACATCTATATTTACATCTGATCAGACAACCATTGCATGCACCATTTTCATGTCATCTTTACGAAAAGGCTACAACTTTTGAATGAATTCTAAACAATCATTCAATCAGCCCTACAACAGTTGTAGCCATGCTAGTGTAAGGATGACTAATTAAAGTCATCAAGAACACATTGCAGAAGGAGTGCGGTACCATACATAACCTATACTAAAGGCTTTGAACTACGTCGATTGCGTTAGTTGGTGAATTAAGTCTATTTTAAACAATACCTGTTCCACAAAAAATTTAAAATCCAGAAGTTCCCACTCAGTATTCGCTTGGTAAACTCTKTTCTGGACTCCTGAATCGTTGCTAACAATCAAATCCACCTGAGACGCGTCAAATGCCCATGAACCGAACTCTAACGAACACTTTTGGTCATCAAATGGAAAATATCTGAAATCAGCATTGCCTGATTAGTTTTGAGAAGAAAAAAAAATGAAAGACGATTGCAAGAGCAAGGAAATAGGGGTACAGCTTGATTGACGGTGTATCACAAGGTCTCTAATTCTCATTGATTGATGTACTAGTCTAATCGAGTACTCTCTAAAAATAAAATCTCCTTTAATTTGATTCGAAATGAAAACTGGGTTGATTGTTTAAAGCGCGATTGGCGCTAATTTAAGGGTAAACTCTCAAAAAATATGAAGTTAACCCTAGATTAACGCCTAATCTGGCTTTGAACACCCCGGCCCTGCTTTAGAAAGCCCCATTATTCTATCAATACATATCATGCCAATATTCATGCCTCCTTACGGTCTGTAAACTCAATGCTCAACATTCCCTAATCGTTCTTCTTTCTGCGGACAACCCGTTTATAGCTATGGCCGATTTAGACGGTACAACTTTTGCCTACAACTGTCGCATGCAACATGCCTAAGTCATCATTACAACATGCCTACAACTGTCGTAAGGTTATCAAACAATTGTTTTCGATTTCTATGACTGTTGTAGTCATGTTGTAAAGGATGACTTACGCATGTTGCATGCGACTATGTAGGCAAAAGTTGTACCGTCTAAATCGGCCTTAACATATCTGAGTGTATTCCTTTCATCATTGTTATRAATTAGACTATGCGTCAACATAAGCATTTCCTTAAGCCACTTTAAAAGGTAGTTGTGCCTTTGTACCGACGTGAGACAACTTTGCAATGACAGAAACCTTTGAAGAAGGTTCTATAGATRTGAAAGAAGCTATCTGTCATTGTAAAGATAAAGTACGGCTACATTTCGATCAAAATAGCGAAGAGAATAGACCTCTGAAGCTTTTACGTCATGTACCGTCATGTACCATTGTAGGATATGTTTGGGGCAGAACATGGCGGATTTCTTCTCCAAAAACTGATCCCACAATGCATTGCAAATCAAGTAGTGACGTAAAAGGTTCAAAAGTCTAGTATTGTAAAGAAGACAACATATTTTAATATTTTAAGTTAAAACTTGTTATTTCATTTTTTTTTTAATTTCTCGTGTTCTTTCCTTTTTCTTGAAAATACTCAATTTATTTTTTCTAATATTTCTGGAATTGCCTACCTTGTATTGATATCACAAGTGCTTTTGAACATGGCGGGTGAAAGCCACGAAATACTTCCATCGTGTGAGACTTTTATGTGTGTTTTATATTTCTCAGTGCCACCAGCCAAACGATCGTTCTCCTCGGCACTAGCAACGAAACGAACTCTGTATAAGGGTAACGCAGTAATGAAGAAAATAAAACCTGATTGGTTATGTGAACGATGTAAGATCAATGGTTGTCCAGCCTAATGACGTCAYATGTATTTTTGGCGAAGTGCATCATGGTATTGWTGAAAGTATCAAGATGGCGGACTGGATGTCATAAAAAGAMTACAAAGGACAAAGTTTTATTGCGAAATTTTCGATATTCTTTGTCGAAAAACGCTTAAAAGAACATTAAATGCCTACACTAGCTCAAAGTATATTCAAAGTCTAGACTGGCCAGAAATAAYTAATGCCTGTTGCTGGATAAACACGGCCTGAATCTCCAAAAACACGTAGCGAAAAAGAACAAATGTCTGGGATTACAATTTAATCGATYCCATGGTGCACCTCGCAACGTCATTAGGAGAAAAGACCACTGTAAAATATGATAAGCTGACAAGAAAGAAGAAAAGCCTTGAGCCGAAAACTGAATAGAAAAAGACACATTTCTCGATAGAGGAGAGCTGATCACTTACCGATTAACAAATTAGAACAAGATTAAGAATAATCTCATTCAAAATTCTCCACGCCATTTTAAAAGGCAGCATTGTGTCTTTACATCAAAGCAAAACGACCCGTGAACTTACAATGATACGATAGATATCAGTGAATAATTTTCTGCAGCAATGAAGGTTTCTCTATCATTGCACGTTCAAGAATCGCCTCGCTTTGGTGCAAAGCTATGGCTACCTTTCAAAATGGCGCATGGAATCGTGAAGAAGACCATTCAAACAGATAAGCGGGTGAATAGATAGAGATGCACGTAGATTAGCGTGAGTAAGGATTAATGAGCCCCGGCCAGCGAATTCTTGAAGRCTGTGAGGAGACTAGAAGACTTCTGATTAAAATATCAAAAAAGCGRATTTGATATCATCTGCAATTAAGGATACGCCCTGAACTCGTGTATTACATGAAATCAGTTAACCGAGCCTCGAAACGAAAGCGAGGCAAAGATTGTCGATGTTATRGGACAAGTCACGTGGTTTAATATACCAAAGAAAATTGCGCACGCTATACTGGCTATTTGTTTCTACAATGTTCTTAAAACTTTTACTTGAGAAAACAMTAGCATATCTAGACAAATTATTGTTTTTAGAATACCTCGTGCTAAATTAAGAGAGAGTAAGATTTMTCTTTCTTTCAAATGATGATGAAGTTTTAAAAGTAGATCTAATCAAAAAATAGGGAAATTTTCATTACTTATTTAAAAAAAGAGCGATATAATTTTGCAGGTCTCCGACTGGGCCGCGCTAAAAACCTAAACGTCCCTCTTTCTGTATACGATTTTTTTCCCCTTAAATTAATGAACGCACTTTGAAGATCAAAGTTTGTGACTGAAAATTTTGAAACAACAAGATCATGTCACGATTTTTGCTTTGACAAACGCTGATCAACTCTGAAAAAGCTTTTCAAACTTTTGGTAAAAGGTAATTCATTAAGTCAAAAATTTTATTCAAATTTCTTTTCGTTTTCTTGCATAATACATTGTACTTTTGTTGTTGTTTTCTTTTCTTCTCACCTCGAGTAGTACAAAGTCTTGGATGTTTTCTTTTTATCCTCGCTCTGTCTACAAAAGTTACATCAAACCTTATATTCTCCATTGAGTACACGTCTTGGCAAGCTTTACTCAGTGTGTGACTTGTCTGTTCAGATATGTCTGTCTAGCGCTATGAGATGATGAAGTGAAGCCTTTAAGATGAACGCCAGCTCGTGCTGTYATGGGAGGCTCGGTCACTTTTCAAGATGGCGGACTCAGTTTTAATGTAATACACGAGACGATGGGCTTATTGATGGAGGTTAGAATTAATTATTTCAATTATGGGCGATATGTAATATAATTACGATTTATTCTTATGTTTCGCTGATTAGTATTGGTTAAGAGTACATTATCCATATCGTATAAGCCGTTCTAAATTAGTTAAAAAGTCTAATTAGCTCATATATTAGTAATATAAACAATAGTTTATTAATAATATGCCGGTTAGTATTCAGTTCTTTATCGATTTGTGTCTTGCATGTGCTGTTTGTCAAGTTTTTGTGCTTTTTGTGGTGTGATTAGTTTCTTATTTCTTGTGCAGTGCAAGATTTGTTTACACATGCCTTTCCATAATACGCAAACATGACATGCATAGTGCCGCTATCATGTATTGGACAAACTTGTTCAAAGCTAAACTATTCATATAGTAGTGAGTAAGCCCAATAAGTAGGCAAAGTTTGTCTGTTTGGTGTCCCACGACGAAAATAAATTCAACATCAAAGAACTGTCCGGGATCCCTGTGCATTTTAGTTTTGGGCTTCCTCAGTAAATACATGCCATATATGGAAATAAACAAAATGGCGGATTGTTCCGAAATGTTCTCACTATAATATCTGCAAGTTTKWTACGATTAAAAGCTTTAAAAKTTGATRAAATYGCCAAACAACATTCCACACGGTACTCCGAAACAATATTACCATATATGTCTGCTAATCGAATGGCAACTTTCGAGCAACTTTTCTGAAGCAATTCTTTGATAAAAAAATATAGGTGATAAATTAAAAAAAATTTAGCCCAACACAGAAGTGTAATAAGTGTCGCTTACTTTCAGGAGCTGCCACAACTCGAGGGCACAACATTACGACATAGAGTAGATAAGAACCCCAACAGTCTCCTTCGCATTTCCCTGCGCCATCTTGAAAGGTAGCCGTGCCATTACATCGAAGCAAGAAGACAACCGTTGAGCGTGCAATGATAGATACCTGTGAATAATTGTCTGTAGGTGTGAAAAAGGGTTTCTATCACTGCACGCTGAACGGTCGTCTTGCTTCGATGAGAAGGCACGGCTACCTTTCAACTGACACAGGGAACCGTGAGGAAGACTACAAGAGAGGAGGCGAACCACTTGGCTTTACTACAAGCATGGCCGAGAAACTGAATCTGAACTTATCGAAAGCGAATGAAATTCAGCCTCAGCTAGTGACCAGAGCGGGAATCGATCCTGAGACCACCAGACTACGAAACTAAATCAATGACCACTCGAACATGCTGCTTCCTAAAACAACTTGAAACAATCCTCTTTTTTGTTTAATAGGCTCTCGTCGCCATTGTACTCAGTAACAACCTCAGCTTTGAACAACCTTGTCCATCAAACTGTGTCAGTGTTTTTTAATTCAATAACCAAGCTCAAACGGCGTCGAAATTTGGATTGCCAAATCGAGCGATTGTTAAACACTGGAAAAAATCGCGCGCTTTTAAGGTTGTAATTTTGATGTATATATGATGTAAGTGTCCAAAATGATGTAAATTTGATGTAAATCATTTCCATCAAATTTACATCATTTTGGACACTTACATCATATTTCCATCAAATTTACAACCTTTATGGCGCGCGATTTTTTCCAGTGAAACTTCAAATCTCACGAGTGTCGTAAGTAATGAAGGTAGGGCAAAATGTGCAAAAATTGGCCTTATTTGCTTTGTATTACGCACATGCAAAATTCGAAGTTTGAAAAAGATTGACAAAAAAGTGCCATTTTTTATCCCACTAAAACATATACAATAAGTGAATCAAGAGCCAATATGTTAACAGAAGATTAACATTAAAGATCTTTGAAAGCTTCGACTCGAGAGTGTATCAAATTTTGTTCGTTCTCAACTCTTTGGCCTACCGTAACCACAACAGCAGTTTGCCAGTGTCTTTTAATGAGTTCGGTAATGAGTATCTGGATAAATTGACTTCTCTCATATAGCATATGTTATCGTTTAACATGTTTGTCCAAATATGGCAGCACACTTTGTATCCGAATTTTCAACCGCAAAATTTGATACAAGTCAAAACAACGAGAGAACAAGCTTGATGCGTGAAAATTAAAAATTCAAAACAGCTGTCCACGGTTTTTAGGTTATGGGTATATAGTCGAATGCTTTCATTGAACTCGAAGTTGTCAATGCAATGAAGTGTTTTTTTAGTTGAACAATACGTTTAGCCTCGTAGTTTAAAAATTGTGCATGTTCTTCGTCTTTCCAAATTCAGTGGATACGCCGTTTGAGCTTAGTTATTTCCCTGTTGTTGTTGTTGTTGTTGCATGCTAGTTGTCGTGTATAACAAAAGTAATAAAGTGTCTCGTTTTAGTTCTATATTTATTGTTGTTTCACTTATGTATATATGTTGATTTATGGATGTAGTTTTTTTTTGTTTTCCATAAGTGGTGCCTTAGTGTTGTATAAAAGGCAATGGTGGTCGGTACAATAAAACAAAAACATTTTGAACACAATATTTCAAACTCGCCCGCACATTTCAAAATCGTGTTTTAATTAATTAAAATAATGTGTCGAAAATTCGGAAGCAGAATGGCCAACTAGATAGGGACTCAGAGGAGACTTGAAATCCTCAATTCCGTTAATTTTTTTTTTTTTTTTGACTAGATAAGACAAAAAATGCTTTATTCTACATCAAATTCGCATATTTCAGGTTTTGAATCATCCGCAGTTGAAAATAGCCAAAATATTCGACCTCCGAAAATTCCTACTGATGTGAAATGACCGAAACCCCTAATTTCCCCTTCCGAACATATTTAGTCAAACATGATAAACTCTTCCAAGGTCTTTCCCAGGTTAATTATTTAAAAGGACAGTTCTGAATTCAAATAAAAGACATAAAAAGGTTTTGATCAATGGTGCATTATTGCATGTCGGTTGTGTTGTGGCAGGAGATTCCGGTCCCTAGCCTTTATTAAAATTGCAGGCGAATCTGGGATGTGTTTTTTTTTATCCATGTTTAATCTATGACCGACCACCATACGTATATACTATTTAACCAACTGAGAATACCATCCTTCTTGTGCAGCCATACACAGGATCAGTTTTCATCTGAGTGGACACTTCAATTCAGTTAAATTCTCGTCCWATTAATTTCTTACTGTACCAAAGCAAGGGAACATCCGTAATGTGGCAGATGTTTGTGTATTGAAACAAAAAACACTTCATAAAACATGTGAAATATGACTTTCTCCACTCAAACAAAAACAGCTCCGATAGCTCCTGGTATCAAAAGATTCCTCTTTAAACTCTCCAAAGGAAAAAAAAAACCTTGAAAGAGTCCTTTTGGAATACTTGTCTTAAGTATATTCCATGGTTGTCGTAAAACTGTCAGTTAATATCAGCCTAGACCATTAGCGAATTGACACAGACGCGCGCGCATATAAAAAAAACCCTGTTTGTCTGTACTCACTATTGGGCTTTTGAATCTTTCAAGGATTAAAGAAATGACTTCGTCATTTTTTTCTCATTTGGTTGAAGATTAAAGAGGATTCTAATAACAGAGCTAATGGCAACAGTTTTCTCACTTGTTGTAGTTCGCGTTTAGTTAAGAAGCTTACCTATTATATAATAAAATGTCTGGCGTCCAAATTCGTCCAGGGCTTACATACACTGCTTCAACACCATTGTATTTACTAGCATTCCATGATAAATCCTTGTTTGACCAGTGCTTAAAGTAATACATGGAAAACAAATTAGTCTAAGAAGACTACCGTATGGCCATGTGTGGAAGGGAAYTGGGTGGGGAAATATGGCCGCTTTTCCACGTGGACGTGTTAACTGATTCAAAAGTTATCGATTCAAATTCATTAATTAAAGAATCATAACCACCCGGCGTACCTTGCGAACCGAAGCGCCATTTTAGGTGGGCACGAAAATGGCAGATTTGTAG